TGGAAGTTTTTGATGGGAGATCGGTAGCGATGGAAATCAATGGATGAAGAGGAGAAGGTTGGGGAAAATAGAAAACGAGCTCGTTTCCCGTGTTTTCATTCCGTCTTCTTTTTTGGCAGAAAACGCTCAAAACGGCTTTTTAGCCGTTTTGAGTTTTTAGTACAAAATTTTTTTTTGTTTTCAAAAATTCATTTTCGAAAACGGGAAAGAAAACGCGTTTTCACTGTTTTGAAAAATCGAAAACAGAAAACGGTTCGAAAACAGCAAAGAGAACAGGGCCTAATTTTTTGGAGAGTATGATAAAAAAAAATTAAAAATAATTTATTTATAATATCATTTTATTTAACTCGGACACGCAGCGTAGACTTCTGGTCTCTGGATCCATTCTAAAAAGAATATTATTTTATTCGCGAAATATGAATCATATAAAAACAGCATGTGCACCACACAAGGAAAGAAAAGGCATCAATCAAGAAGCTAATTACTGCTCGACTCAGTCAAACACACCATTTTTATAAGTCCAAATTCAACCATTTTTCAGACGTAAGCTGCTGTAATTTTTAAAAGAAACGCCAACCAGCTTGAATACAATATCAAACTTTTAATCCCGAAACCTTAGTTTTTTTATCTGTAGTTTGCATCTGCCCTGTTTCTTGTTTCTGTTTTTAAAAAAAAAAATTTAGCTCAAGAATTTGCAAAGTTTACAAAAAATTCTGCTGCCCAGATTGGGCATTGAAGACAGTTGAATCTTTTTGAACCGGTGTTATAACTGTTTTTGTTTGATTTATAATTCGAGTCTGCAGCAAAAGCAAGTTTAATGGATTCATCGCCGGATTACACGAGGGCCACAAGCAATTTTGATGGAAAGAAAGAAAATTCTCCTGTAAGTTCAACTTCTTGAAGTTGATTTTGATTTTTTATGGATTTAAAGCATTAAATTCCATTATTTTTCGATTCTGGGTATTTAACAACTATGATGGTCGGAAGAAAATAACTTTAATTCCTTTAAATAGTGTTATTTTTATATATCTTCTTAAGTGAAAATTAATTTTTTTTACGGTCTTCAAATTAGCACATCTTGGGTGCATTCCCAAGATTTATCTGTTTTTTATTACTATATATTTGCTTGGGGGGAGGGGGTGGGATTTGTGTGGAATACTAATCTTGAGACTGAATAGCTTTTGAACATATTGTAAGATTTGTAGTTTTCTGTGATATGTGTCATCAGGGTGGAAGTGAATGTGCTGAAACCATTTCGTTGAGATCTTCAACTCAGGGATCTACTGTTAATGGACTGCCTGGTCCGTACCAGGATATGGGAATCAAGAACAGAACTAACAAGAAGAAGACCCTGAAAAATTTTAGGAACTTAAAAACATTCAGGAGAAGGGCTAGATCAAGAGCCGTTGATCAGATTTCTATGGATATGTCTGATGATCTAGTAACACCTCAACCAAAATCTTCGCTTGAAGTATCTGATGAAACACCACATTACATGCAGGCAACTAGTTCTTCCAAAGGGAAAAAGGCAAATTCTCTGGAAAGTCAGCAGAATTCTGAATTTTGCTTTGATAATACTGATCGAAGCAGTTCACATTCTTCACAATCGAACGTGGCTTTTCCCAGTGTTGGATCTTTGCAAACTTCATCGACTGCATTGAACCTTAGAAATGTGAAAATTCTAATAAAGACAACGAGTTTTAAACCCAAGAGGTCTTCATTGAAATACTCTCAAGTTTCTCAGGATGTACATGTTGATAGAGCAACATGTTCTTCCACTCTTAAGGACTCGAAGTTTGCCAAGGGTGTTGAGCATGTTCCTGGGGAAATTGAATCTGAGAAGATTTCAGAAATGAAAGTGTGTCGATACCATCACTGTTCTCTTCATGGACACTGCAGTGAGGCCCATGATCATGTTCCTCCACAAAAGCGCCTCTTGTACAAAAAAAGACGATCGTTGAAGAAACTAAAAAGCACGAAACCCAAATCTGGTTCCATGTCTGTCACAAAAAGTTTTAGTGATAAAAAGAAAGATCTCCAGAAAGGGCAAATGATTTCTAATGTACAGGTGCAAGGCGAGAGTGACAGTATAGCCATCTCTTATGAGGGAGATACCTCTAGATCGTGTGCATTAGAAGTAAAAAGGAGTGAAACACCTTGCCTTATTGCTTCAAATGTCGTGGATTCTGGTACAGAGATCAATTCTAAACCAAAAACTCAGCTCTTTGGAGATGGGTATAGCGGTATTCAAGAGTCAGATCTCATCGAAATTGCATTTGGTGAAACATCAAACCCCGAGGAAAGTTTCCAGGAGAGTCTTAACCGAGTCGCGGATTATGGTACACAAGGGCAAGCAGTTCTTTGTTTGAAGTGCTCTTGCATTAAAATGGAACCAAATGGGTCCAAAAGAACAGCTGATGTAGACTTACCACACCCTCAAGCCCTCGACTCAAATCTTGGCAATGGGTACAATCGTCTGAACCCTCAAGATGTGGCTACTGATTTTTCTGATACATATGCATCTTCCATTTCCTTAAAACTAGATGAACATCTCAGTCCCCATAGTAAGGGTACTGCTCCTTCTAATGGAGCAGAATGTGATTTTGATGCATCCAACATACAAAATGCATTAAGTCCAGGCCATTTTGAAAAAGTTACAGAAATTAACAGTGTGATATCATCAACTTCAGATGTTCAAACTTCAAAATGTGGAAATCCTGAATCAGAAAGGAAGTTTACAACTGAAGTTATGCCTGTTGAAGATTCTGAATCTACTGAAGTCACGCACGTTAAAAATTCAGAAGTTAGTACTTGTTTTCATGAAGAAAACAAAACTCGGTTCAACAAAGTTAGGCATATCAGCATGTGGCACATGATACATCAGCATATGGCAGAAAGTATGGCTGCTGAATCTGAAAACAAGCCGCTTCAGAATGTTGATGGTTCCAATGTATTGCCTGCAAAAGAAAGTTCAGCATCGTCCAGGGATTTTTCTGATTCTGGTAGGGGCATACTGAACAACGATTATGAATTAGAAGATATTGAAGTCCGCAAGCTTTTTGCAGTTAAGATAGTCCGAGAAGCAATTGAGAAGATTCTTCTTCCAGAAGTTCAAGATCAGACATCTGATGATCAGTCAATCACAAGCGACTCCACTCATGAACAAGAACTCTTCGAAAAGAATCAACACGAAGGTGGGGAATTGCATTTCTCTCTCTCTCTCTCTCTCTCTCTCTCTCTCTCTCTCTCTCTCTCTCTCTCTCTATGTTTACGTGTTTGTTTTTCTGGTTTTGGGGGTCGGGAGGTTTCCTTTTCCTTGTTTAACTTACGTGTAGGATACTAATGATCTCTACTTCCACAGGTCGTGTCCAAGAAAGTTCCCCAGAATGTGAGCTGGATAAGGGGGAGGGTAATGCGCCAGCTGATTTGAAAGAGGTAGGTCTCAACAAAACTGATATTTCTGGTCAAGAGATAATGCAAACCGACAAAAATTTTGGAACCAAGTCCGAGAAGAAAGCACCAAAACATTGGAGTAATCTTAAAAAATGGATTTTACTTCAAAGATTCATCAAAGAATTAGAAAAAGTGAGGAAATTTAATCCAAGGAGTCCACAACATCTGCCCTTGAAGCCTGACCCTGAATCAGAAAAAGTCAACCTACGGCCGCAAACAGTAGAAGAGAGGAAGAAAGCAGAAGAGTGGATGCTTGATTATGCACTGCGCCAAGCAGTCAGTCAGCTTGCCCCTACTCAGAAACGGAAAGTGTCTTTGCTAATAAAGGCCTTTGAAACAGTTGTTTCACCGAATGAAGATAATAGCAAAAAAATTGCTGGCATTACCCATGAAGTGGGCGAGTCTGTTCTAAAAGAAAATGGCACGGACAAAGAGGCCCAAGAAATTTTTGAATTGAAATCTGATAATGGTGAAATAGCACCTGAACTAAACTTACAGGGAATTCAAGAGGATACAGTTGTCTGTCTGAACTCGGAGTTTCCGACTGGTAATTTCCTCCCGACCATTGGAAACATAGAGACTCAAGATCCAGATCATGGACATTGTGAATCCAAAAATTTGATTCTAGATGGTAGTACATTATCAACTGAGGATACTATCTCATCAGCTGTTCATTGTCGTACGCTCGAGCTAGAAACGAATGTAAGGGGTGAGGCCAACCAAGAAGTTGTGCCAGAACTCAGAGGAGTTCAAGAAGGTACCGTATCTGATGGCAAAGAGTCAGAGACAAAGAATGGATCACACGATATCCAGTTGGAAAGACAAAACTATATCAGAATGTGGCATTCGATATATCAGCATGTGGTATTGGGTATTGCTGCAAAAGTTGGAAGCCAACTTCTCGATGGAACAGATGATGACGAATTAGAAGATTGTAAGGAATTGTCTAAAATAAGCAAGGGTGATGATGACTCAGTCAAGGAAAACCGTGTTTCTAGCCATTTGAATCGTGCATTCACCAAATCTGATGCAGTCAAACTCGTACAAGAGGCAGTAGATGAGATCCTTCTTCCAGAAATTCAAGATGACTCATCTGATACTCAATCAATTACAAGTGACTTTAATCCAGACCAGGAGATCTCAGAAAGTCTTAACCAAGAAAATGAGACGCAATGTACCACATATGAAGGTGGAATTTCAATTGATCAAGAAGACTGTACAATAAAGTCAGCCAGAAGACCCGAGCCACTGAAGTCCAAGAACTGGAGCAAGCTGAAAAAGCTAATCCTCCTCAAGAGATCCATAAAAGCATTAGAGAATGCAAGGAAACTTAACCTGCAACCACCACAACAACTCTCGGTTATGCCTGATCCCAAACAAGAGAAAGCTGACTTAAGGCATCAAATGATGGACGAGAGAAAAAAGGCCGAGCAGTGGATGCTAGATTATGCAGTCCAACATATTGTCACGAAACTAACTCCAGCTCGGAAAAGAAGGGTGTCAATGCTTGTCGAAGCTTTTGAAGCAGTCATTCCACTGCCAGAGCTATTAACTCCATGAAGATTCAAATCAAGCATATCTATGCAAGGCTATTTGCTGCTGTTTATAAAAGTAAGCATGGTAATTTTTGTATGCATTTATTCAAGTACATGCTTATTTCCAACTTTGACCAAACATTCTATGGGACCCACAGCTTTTCTTCACTTTTCAAACAAACATTCTTACAGAAAACCATTTTTCACTTGAAAAAAATTCTGTGCCAAACAAGGTATTATTACGAGTAATTGATTGTTTTGATTGTTTTAGCCTTCTGCAATCAACTATAATACGTAATATTCTGCAAGTAAAGCAATCGTAATAATATTAATCAAAATATACTTTCTTGAACTGATCATCTCAAATACTTCAATGCAGATGCTGTATGATGTCTCGTTGCCTCTGGAATAAATTGGTTAGTGTTCATGTAAATGGTCATTTTTATGCTAGTCATTCTTTGAAATCAATTTTTGTTTTGTTTATGGGAATCTCATTATTCTACTACGGATGTTTTGTACAATTTCTAGAAGACAATTCTGTTATCTGCTTGGTCGTGCATGTATTCTAGAGATACAATAATGTTACCGGTTTGTTTATATTCTTCTAATCTTTCATTGTATGTAAATGATGAAGTGCAATCGAGATTTTATTTTATACTCTAGATGATACCAAAAATATTTTGTTACTATCCCTATCTGAGAGAAATTTCGTGACCTCTTTAGTGAAATGTTATCAAACCTTGATATTTGGGGTTTTTTCTTTGGAAGAGAGTGCTGCTGCCACTCATTTTCAAATATATGACTTCTGTATACCTGTTTTTGTGGGTCGCTTCTCTTTCCGTTTGTTTGAATGTCTTGAGTGTCAAGAAAGTATTTTGGTAATTGCGAACACAACGTGAAGTGTTATGGAAGTGCTTGTGTGAGTGATTATTTGAAAAGTGATTTTTTGTGGAATATATGATTAAAAAGTAGGAAAAAGTTATTGGGAAATGTGAAAAATAAATTTTTAGGAGATTTTTTGGTTGAAAATGAGTGCGGGGGAAAATATGGATTTCAAATAATCACTTTCAAGCAAGGGCTAATAGTTTAGAAGATGAACTTATGTCTCACAAGTGCCGGAGCAATGGACTCTTATATGTAGTGATGTCAACTGAGTTGGGCCGAACTAATTGGGTTGCATAAAGATCTTGCTTATGGGTCTAGGCTGGTTTAAGTTTTAGTTGGCTAATCAAATGTCTTATGGGAAAATTAGGGCCATTACCCTCCAAAATTAAGGAAATTGAATAAAACCCTATTAACTAATTATAACATTTAATCACGTAATTAATACGTTCTAAATTAACCCTCCAAAACCAAACCAAACCCAACCCAAATCAAAACCCCCGATTTCGATTCCAAAAACTCCCAAACCATTACAGCAAAGAGAAATCTTCATCCCCTGTAAAGAAATTAGTGGTCCAGTCTCGATTCTGCTAGTCGAGGATCTTCAAGCATGATGAATATCGGCATTGCCATGCAATTTCACTTTCATTCATGTGATTAGGACCATAACAACGTGTCAATAGTAAACACCAATTGTCGTTATGATTAGACTGTCCTTCTTCACGAATTAATTTGATTAATTAAGCAAAACAGTTTGATGTTATTAATTAAGCTATGTATTTGGTGGTTGTCAAGTTGATTCAACTGATACCAAGATGCAGTTTTCCGTTGTAGGTTTTTCAAAATAAAACTGCTAAATTATTGCACACCACATGTTTGATTTATTTCCTATTTCTTTATGGGGTTTGGAACTTGAAACTTACAAGAGAGCTGAGGTTTTTTCTGGTGATCTGAATCTATAGCATATATATTGGTATTTGGTACAAAAGAAATAATTAAAGAAACAGAGAAGCAGGTAAAGAAACAGAGTGAGAGTGAGAAAGAAAGAAAGATAAAGAAATAGATGAGGTGGTGGAGTGGAGTCACATTGATGCTAATGAGACCGTTCTCTAGTTTTGAGAATAAAAATTTAGTGTGGAGATTATGTTATTAGTGTGTCTCATGGGTTGACTAGGCTCGCCCGGAATCCGCGGGCTTTGCCACCGACCAAGGGAACAACCTCTCAGTGGTTCTCTTCCCATTAAAGCCACCATTTGTTTAAACAGAAGATTTGTACAAACCACAGTTCTGCCTTTTCCTCTCTCCTAAAATTGCTTGGTTGCGGTCAAGATTCCATTGTTCGAAGCATGTATACTTCCCTATTTGAGAACCCATTTCTTTCCCTTTGAAGTTTTGAGAACTGACTATATTCAGAAATTTTTGGTCCCCACACTTGGAGTCCTTTTAGTTCTCCATTTCCTTGATTTTAGTTTTGTCTGGTAATTTGGGATGTCCACAGTTCAAACTGAGGCTATCAGCTCTCATGGTAGTGACAAACCAGTTAAGAAGTTGTTCAATTATTTCTTGTCCCCAATAGCCCTCCGCGTAGATTTCTCCAAGTATATGGCTTTTTCCCTGTAGTATATTGTCTCTTAGAGGTAGTTTCTTTCTTGTAAAAATGGGATCTGACTGATTCCAATTTTTTATTGGTCTTATGTCATTTTTTCTTATGGTGCTGAACTTGAGGTAATTTGCATTTCCTAATATAATCTTTTATTTTCATGCTTTGGATGTTCATGTTTGCTCAAGATGACTTGAATGTTTTCGATTTATGTTTTGTCACTTTTTCGAATGTTCGCAGTTTTTTTAACTTTTTGTCACTTTTCTGAACATTTGTCGCTTTTTTTTGAATTCATGTCACTTTTTTAGTATTTGTCACTTTTTTCCATCACCTTTTTTTTTATTGTTTGTTACTTTTTTTAAAAAAATTTCTGTCACTTTTTTTGTGACAAATATATTTTTAATGAAAATGATATTATATGTTTTTTTTTTATTATTAAAAAGTGATATTAAAAGTGACATTACACATAACTTTTTATTAAAAAGTGATACAATGTCACTTTTATTAAGAAGTGATAAAATTCACCCAAAAAGTGATCGAGGTTTGGTCACTATTTTAAGTTTTTATCATTGATTCCAAAGTTTTGATGGGTGTTTTGTCACTTTTTTTTAGTCGTCGCTTTTTTAATTCCAGTCACTTTATTATACTGAATCTAAGGTTTTGATTAGTATTTTGCCACTTTTTGAATGTTTATCACTTTTTTGGAATTTTTGTGTCTTTTTATAATGTTTGTCACTTTTTTCCTATCACTTTCTAAATTTTTTGTCACTTTTTTTAGTAACAAACATCGCTTTTTAATAAAAGGAAGATTTTATATCATTTTTTAATAAAAAAAAGTAATAATTAACTTTAAAAAACGACATTGTGTCACTTTTTTAATAAAAAAAAAAGTATTTTTTACCTCCATAAAACTTTTCATATAATTTTTCGAAAGTCTCCTAATTTTAAGGGTATTTTTGTAAGTTGCCCATGTCTTATTCCCCAAGGTTGGGCTGAGACATGCAAGTCTCTAAGTAGTGGAAATTACCACCATCAAGAGTTTTGAACCTTCCATTTCAAAATTAAGATTTACAAGTTTTTTTTTTAAAAAAAAATCAGATGATAATTAAAATTTTAAATATTAATAATTATATACTCAAACCCTACACCATCCACCCCATTCAAACCCTAATAACTTTCTCCCTCACCTTCTTCCTCTCACTTTTCTCTTCCTTTCCCATCTCTCTCTACCCTCCCCACACAGAAGGACCGTCGCTGCCGTCGTAGACCCTCTCACCTTTTGTGCGGTTGAGATGTTTTAAAACTGGTAGTGACATTTTGGCTAGAGGAGGAGTCAGCCAGAAGTCGGCGGAGGTAACGTGGAGGTTACCCCCACTCCATTCACCCAATTTGGATCTAATTTTTTGTTGTGTTTGGGTGGTGGTGATCGTGATTTTGGCTACGATTGTGAGGTTGTGATGTTGGCAGTGCGGTGAGGTGGTGGTTAGTTGTTGGTGGTGGTGGTAGTGATTTTGAAGTTGAAAATGGTAGTTGTTGGAGGTGGTGATGCCATGGTAGATTGTGGTAGGTAGTGGGATTAACGGGGTTTGTAACCAATTATTTGAGATTGTGACCATTAATTTGGGTATCCTATGATTAAAAAATAATGTGACCGATAAATAATATATGCCATAAAAATTTGAGTTGTGACTTATAAAAATTTTGATTTGTAGCTAAGAAATAATTTGTGTTAATTAATTTTAGAATTTGTAATCAAATTGTATAAAATTGTGACCTTAATATTTTTAATTGTGACTTACAATTTTTTTGATGTGCGTCTGATGAATAAATTGTGACCTATAAAAAAGTTTTATTTGTGACAATGAAATAATTTGTGTTCTATTAAATTTCTAATTCGTGACCGAGAAATAAGTTGTGACCAATTAATTCGATAATTTGTGACCAATAGTATAAAATTTTGACCTTAATATATTTAAATTATAAAATATATTTAAATTAATTATTTTATAAATAAAACTTAATTAATATCTGATTTTTGAAATAATAAACGTTGTTTCTCAATTTTGAAATGGGTCAAACTCAATCTCTTATATTTGAAATTTTCCTCTCTTAAGTATCCCAGGCTAAAACTGGCCTATGTGCTTAATATATTAGTTTTAGATTATATTTTTCCGAACGTCGAGCCATACGTTTCAACCCAACTACTATGTACCCTTTAGCACTTGTTTGACAATCATAATTTTCAAACCTTTTTTTTTACATACTCATTTCAAATCACACATTCATATAATAAAATATTCTGGACGTAAACTGAAAATTTTTTCATATTTTTTAACCACACATTCTCCTAAAAATCATTATTTAAAATAGTCTTTCCCAAATAATGGCCATTAAACAGAGGTTTAATTATGTCATCTCTTATATAGGTAGACATTTTTTGTAACTTGTAAGATTTTATTTATAATTTGGGAGGACGAAGTAACCGGTATAAATTAATATTGCAACATGTAGTTATTTTTAAATGTCTATTTGGTTCGTTCAAT